TATATATATATATATATAATATAATTATAATAATAATAATTATATATTATATAATTATTATTATTTTTTAAATTTACCCTTTATTTATACACATAGTCTCATTGAGTCACGAGAACTCATTTTCAAGAGACTTGTTTAGGGAGCAGACAGTGGGGGTTAAGGGTCTTGCTCAGGGGCCCAGAGTGGGGCAAATGAGGGTGGAGCCAGGAGTGGGTGTTTCACGTTTTCCACCCACATTTTGATGTTGACGCTACTGAACCTGCGACTTCCCAATCACAGGCCCATCTTTTACATGCCAGAGTGGAAAAAACTAATTAAAATGTGGCCAAATAATACAGAAAATATTTTGTAATTATCTACCAGAAAACTAAACAATCCACTACCCAACAATGGGACATTTGAAGCGTTTTATTCCACACAGAATTTAAATTTTAAAAATCCTAACGAGTCAATGCATCATATATACATACATGTACAGCACAGATCAAATGATGACATAAGATCCCTGCAGTGTTTTCAAGCAAACCAAGAAAACATAAAAAGCTGCAAACTCTTGAGCTAAAGCCGACACCCCATCACTTATTTCACAAAAAGATTTCAGGCTTGTAATTCCTCCAAATTATTAAAAATACTAAAGTTCATCTGTTGTCCTGTAATGACTTCTTGTAGCATTTCAGACATATTTACACGAATGGAGAAATTCTTCAGACTCTCTCCGTCTGCAAACACCACCTGTGGGTCCTCGATGCAGAGACTTGGGCCCATGATTTACTAAAGTTAGGACATATTTTTGTTTATTTAGTTATTTATTTTTAACTGCCAATAATGGCACAATTGACAGTGAGCTGCTTGGCATAAAGCTTATTAAGACAGTCAGCATGATTTTCTTTAAATGTGCAACATTTTGATTTAATTGATTAGATTTATTTAGTTTATTGCTTTGCACATAATTGCAGTCCCCAATGCTAATTTCCATCTGCAGTTTTAATTAGTTTTATTTGGGAAAGGTAAGCCAAAAGTTTAGGTCTTTTAAAGTGTATTCCTACATCTCAGAGGTTAGTAATAAATGCATTTACTGAACTTTGTCCAGTTTTCCAGAGAACCCAAAGGTTTGAGGAGGTTTGTTTCAGAGTTTAGTAAAACCCTGAGTTTAAATGACGCTTTGGCTCCTAATGTGTTCATTTTATAATAACTCAGTCTTATGTTATGAAGTAGCACGACCTCCTGCAAAGCTGCTCGGTGCTGGTGAGCTGCCAATCCATGTTTCGCAGTTCATTCATGCCCAACACCAAAAACATGTGCTTTTATTTTTTTAAGTCTCCACAACGAATTTGACTTTTTTTTTTTAACATGGCACACACTCCTCTATATTCTTGTTTTGGATAGACTGGTCAAATTTGTTGGTGAAATTACAATAATTAAAAATTCTGCTTAAAAGTGAAAAAGATTTCAACTAGAAACAAACCAAAAAAAAAAAAATCAAACCAAGTGTGAATGACTTTTCTGACTACGCTCAAAAAGTTTAAAGGTAAAGTTTAAAACTCAAATTTTTTTTCCACATGAGAAGTGAAGAGTAAAAATACAAATGAAAGAAATGTCTCCACTATTTTTGGAAAACTTTCTGCAGGATGTGGATAGAAATGACTTTCCATTTGATCTCTGTCACACACTTGAAGGTTCTTGTGATTATATCTTTATATAGAGAATGACCTGGCCGGGAGGCAATCCTGTCACCTTCCTGCTGAGTGGCAACACCACTAACCACTGCACAACCATGCTGTCCCATGACTGGACCAGCTTCACCTAAAATGATGCGTTTGTTTTGTTTAAAGATACTCAATTCAATGTAACAAAGACCAACTTCCATGTCTTTGATGCTAAAACAGCCAAAGTCAACAACGGTGACATCTACGGAAGAGGCGTTTGGGAACGTTGATCTATTGGTGCCTGTTTATGCCCAAATATTATAAGTATGTAGATGAAAAAAATGGTTAAGTTGAAACACTAAACTCTGCAGTCTAGCTGAATTTTTGCAAAAGCCTTGATTTTTAAAGCCTCCTCTTTCAACTTGATTTTTTTTTTATGCGCTTTCTGTAAACTCGCTCTTTTAGTTCCAACTAAACATCTTGACTCGACGCTTCACTAATTTCACCGTATTTATTAAACACCACATGCTGCAGTCAGCCTAATGTAGGACTGTCACGTGACTGAAGCTTCTACTTGGTTTGAAGTGGATTACTTACATCGAGTGCATACCCACTTTTTAGATTTGCATTCATGGAATCCACCGTATTTTCCGGCGTATAAGTCGCACCTTTTTGCATAAATTTGCAAGTCCTGCGACTTATACACAGAAGCGACTAATATACGTTTTTTTCCCATATTTATAACCCAATTTTTGACTGACATTTGAAATGTTAATTCATAGACATGAACCAGTAAACATTACCAGATGCAGCCGAAGGCCCTCTAGGCTTTTATATGTTGTTCCTCTACCCCGCTTTATAGTTCGCAATGAATACCTTTAATGTGAGCTCTTTTTGCTTTTGGTGAGAGTTTTAAATTTGCCTTTACTAAAATTAAACTATCTTCCTGCTGATGTTCCTGCTGAGGGGGGAGTGGTGGTGCAGAGGTTAGAAGATGGGCTTGTGATCGGAAAGTTGCAGGTTCACCTCCCAGTACCGTCAACATCAAAATGTGGGTGGAAAAGGTGAAACACCCACACCTTCCTCCACCCTCATTCGCCCCACCCTGGGTCCCTGAGCAAGGCCCTTAACCCCCATCTGCTCCCTAAAACAGGTCTCTCTTGAAAATGAGTTATCGTGGCTCAATGAGACTACCTGGGTAAATAAAGGGTAAATGAAAAAAAAATGTTGGCAACAAGAAAGGGTTGATTATCAAAAAAGTCCAATACTTTTAAATATGACAACGCCCAGGTTATTCTCATGCAGTATGACCATGCTGTCTTTGACAGGTTTGTGCCCGTTACTCTGTCCTTGTTGCAGAAGACTGTTGGTCAGTTAAAGCCCTCATGTTCTCTGAATAATGCGATTCCTCCTCGACTATTTAAAGAAGTTAAATTAGTTTAAGTTAAAATATCTTGCAAAAAGATCTGAAGCGCTCAACCTTGACCTCTCTAAGTGGCTTCAAACATCTTCTATGTTCAAGGCAAAAACCAGCGGATTCATGTTCCTGTTTTTAGTATTCTACACCGCTTTACAACCTAGCTGTTCTTGTTTAGTTTCTTTTTAAATACTTTTTTTTTTCTTTTCATTTATTCTTCTCAATTTATAGGCTTTCTTTTAGATCGTCTACTGTTGTCATCCTTCTTTGTTAAAAACAGGTCTCTCTTGTAAATGAGTCCGCAGGGATCAATGAGACTAACCTGTATAAATAAAGGCTGAATGAAAAAAGTTCTTCCCACTATAGGGTCCTCTGTTTGACACTTATTAATAGCAGTTTGGCCTCAGGTGTGGTCCCTGAAAATTTCCAACATGCATCTGTACAACCTCTGATTAAAAAAACATGCCTAGATACTGCTGTTCTTGCGTATTTTAGGCCTGTATCTAAATTATCTTTTGTCTAAAAAATCCTCGAGACGATAGTTTTTAACCAATTAATGACTTTTCTGGAGAAACATAATATCCTTGAGGTTTTCCAATCTGGTTTTAAAACCTTACACAGCACAGAATCAGCTCTTTTAAGAGTTTAGATTTTTTATTTTTGCAACCGACTCTGGGGACCGTGTTGTTCTTGTGCTTTTAATTTAACTGCCGCATTTGATACGGTGGACCATGAACTTTTAATCTCCTGCTTGAATCAGTGGGTGGGTGTCAGAGGTGCAGCACTGGAATGGTTCAGGTCATACTTGACAGATCGAACATCTTGTGTCAGTCTTGGTGACTTTGTGTCCTCCACTGCTCGCCTCTCATATGGGGTCCCGCAGGACTCAGTCCTGGGCCCTCTACTCTTCTCTCTTTACTTGCTTCCACTTGGTTCCATACTTGGGAATCATGGTATTTCCTTCCACTGTTTTGCGAATGACAGCCAGATTTATGTCCCTCTCAAAAAAACAGATCTGCACTCTGTTAGTACATTGCTCAGGTGTCTTGACGACATAAAAACCTGGACGGCTCTAAACTTCTTAAATTTTAATGAGAAAAAGACAGGTGATGGTTTTTGGTGGTACCACTGGGCCCACGCACAGTAGATTTGGGATTCTTGGCCATGTTCCTCAAGCCCACCGTCACAAATCTTGGGGTGAAAATGGAAGTGGATCTCAAGCTCAACAGTCAGATAAGTTCAGTTGTTAAATCAAGCTTTTTCCATTTACGGCAGCCGGCTAAAATAAAGCCCATCCTTTCACGTCAGCACTTTGAAACACTAATTCATGCCTTTGTGACCACTAGGCTGGATTACTGTAATGATCTTTACGTGGGGGTTAGTGGCTCCTCCATTGCCCGTTTTCAGATGGTGCAAAATGCTGCTGCACGTCTTAACTGGCAAATACAAGCACATTTCCCCCATTTTAGCCTCCCTTCACTGGTTGCCCATACATTTTAGGATCAATTTTAAGATTCCTTTATTTACTTTTAAAATCCCTTAATGGTCTTGCCCCACCCTACCTCTCCGAGCTGCTACAGCCTCATATCCCCCCTCCCCCTTTCAGGTGAGCTGATCAGCTGCTCCTGAGCTTACCTAAAACAAAGCTCAAGCTTAGAGGTGACCGTGCCTTCGCTGTAGCTGCTCCTAAACTATGGAACGGTCTGCCTCTACACATCAGACAGGCCTCCTCGCCGTTTGTTTTTAAATCCCATCTTTTTTTTTAAAACCATGTTTTTTCCCAGGCTTTTGACACCATGTGCGATGTTGAATTCATAATTGTTACTTATTTGATTCTCCTTTAATTGCTTTAATTTTTGTTACTGCAAAGCTGTTTATGTCTTTTTAATTTAATTTTTGCATTTTATTCATTTTGTGCTTTTAAACTTGTCTGCACAGCACTTTGGTCCTGTATGTATTTTTTTTCTTTCTTTTTTTAAATGCTTTATAAATAAAGTTGGATTGGATTGTATGTCTGTGACCACCAGGGAACTAGCTGGTTCAAACTTCAACTAATCTGCACTAGTTATGCACACCCACAAAGTTCAGCTGACAAAAATTAATTTGAAGTGTTATTTCAGGTCCTGTCAGAGACGTCGAGGAGAAAGATCAACAGGAGCTCCAACTGATGACTGAAGAAATACCCGTACAATCAGCTGATTGCTTTTCCACTCATTATCATGTTCCAGTTTTGTTTCATTTACAGCTCAGCAAGACTCCCACTAAGCATCTACACCCCTCCTTCTGTTAAGACATATGGGTCTGTGAACCGCACGGCACAGCTCAGCTCTTTCCAGGAAGATCTGTTCTCTGGCTCTGAACAATGAATAGCAGGGATATTTTCTAACAAATTGTAGAGTTTTGGAAAATGATCTGCAGCTTTATTAAATCAGATGCACCGTTTATGTACTAGCACGTATGCTAAATCTAAGGCTTTCATGCAAACCTCGTCTACAAAAAGAAAAATAAATAAAAGAGCGTGAGAGAACTGAGAAATTACCACATGTGCTCATACACAAACACGCGGCATCTCAATGCTTGTGTCAGGGGGGAGGCAGTTTGTTCGTATACCGTGTGTATACAGAGAAGAGAGAGACAGCATCAATAATGTAGCATCTTGACTCCGGGAGTCCACAAAGTCCAATTAATCTCAAAGACTAAGGAACAAAGGCTTCGCTATTTGACAAACAGGACATGGTGTAGTTTGCTCTGCTCCAACTCAGACTTGATAAGCAGAGAAGATCGAGAAAAGAAATGTTAGAGGGGCTTAGTAAAGGAGAGTTAAACACCAAAGGTGGCTAAAAGGGATCTTCAAAGGGAACGTCCTGACTCTTTTCAGCTCCTCTGACATTTCATTGCTTCAGACAAGCCCACCTCAGCTCTGCGCTCCATCTGAAAGCACACCTTTTACTCTCAGTCAGAACTGCCCCAGTCTAAACAGACACAAGTGAAGTTCGACTTTAGATCACACTGCTGACATGTGCTGCACATTACGAAGTGAAAATGTTATATTCATGTCTACGAATGCTTCTGCTTGTAGATATGAATGCGTACTGTGATCTTACCTGCTTGGTACGTTGCAGTTCTCCTAATTTGTATCTAAAAATGTTAATTTGTTGTGATTGGGAGTCAGAATATCTTGAGAGGGTGTCTCAAACTAGTGAAAACTGCTGTCTAAGAGAATATGTATCTGTTTTTATTAGACCGTTGAGGGACCAGTGATAAAAGCTATATAAAAAAAGTAGATAAATATGGGTCTTCATGGAGGTACAGCCAGTTAACTTAAAATTGTTGCTTTTAAACTAGGGATGCACGATATTATTGGCATGGTATATCGGTCGATATTAGCGTTAAAGTTCGATATCGGACAGCGGCTATTCCATCAAAAGAATCACCAATATAAAATACGCAGTTTTTGTATGACAACCCAGTGACAAGGATGCCTGCAGCGCCGGCACAACGTGATGACGTCACACGCGCCTACCTGATCTGATCACGGTGGAGAGGAAGAAGTCAAAATGTCGGCGATGTGGAAGTTTTTTATTTTCGTTATAATTTCGTATAATTTCGTTATATTTCGTTATATTTCGTTCCGTTAGGATATTGGATTGTGAAGATTTTCGGACTGCGTTGAGCCTCGATACATCGTCCACAGTCTGAGATATTTTTCTAACGTAGTCTTATCCGAGTTACAAGCCATCATTTCCGTCATTGAGAAGCTAAAAGCCGATAGCATTTGGGTGAGTTTTACCACAGACATTTGGACGTCGTGTTAGCCTCGTTAGCATGATTAGTCTTACGGTACAATGGATAGACAAAAACTTTGAACTTAAAAACGCTGTTCTTCATGCACAGGAGTGCAGAGGATCCCACACTGCAGCTGGGAACCTGGAACAAGCCTCCTCAAGTGAGACAGCATCACACGTGACTAATGCTAATAAATAACATTTAACACTTTTCATTTAATATAAGTCAAAGTGCTATGCATATCATATGGCTGTTACTGAATATATGTCACCAGCTCTTACAGCTGTTGCACATTTTTTGTAGCAAATAAGCCTAAATAAGCGGGGTATGCTCTGACAAAGGAAAGTATATAAAATATGGGTATCGGCCAAATAAGTTTTAACATATCGGCCAAAAATCCAGTATCGTGGATCTCTATTTTAAACACTTTTTTTGTTAAAAACATCAATGCTCCAGGTAGAATCACAAAAATATGTTTAATGCTTTGGTGTTGTAACAAAACTCTTAATGCAAATGATTGCAAATGCAAATAAAAACGTTGGATCCTTACAGGTTTATATCTCAGAGCGTCTCTGTAGGATCCAAACAGAGCCGCCTGCGCTCTGAGGAAGGCCCTCGCCACGCCGCTTCCCGTCGCCGTCGACTGCTTCTTCAGCTTGCTCTTCAGAGAAGACACCTGGAGGAAAACATGCAGGGAGAACGTGGACGAGAAAAGGATGGAAAGTGATAAAGGCAGAGGAGGGCAGGGGTGGGGGTGGGGGGGAGGAGGGTAAAAGTTAAATTATCACCTCTGAAATTGGCGGAGGAAACAGCTAGCCCATTCTGGGTGTGAAGTATCACATTTGCAGGTCATCTCAAAAAAGGAATAGAGAAGAAAAAGAAAAGCTCGAGACTTTCCTCCAAGCTTATCTGTTGTGTTGCTGGGAGCACCTGCTGCTTTGCTAATTGAGCAGCGCGTGGGGGTGGTGGGGGGGGGGGGGGGGATGCAGAGGAGAGGAAATGGAAGCTCACTTCTTCCTCTTTCTGCCTCTCTTCCCCACCATCTTTCTTTTTCATTTCTGACTCCTGCTCCTTCCATCCAGACCTGCTGCTTTCCCCTCCCCTCCTTGCTCTCCCAGATTCCCTCCAGAAAGGAAATCTTGACATAAAACGTCTTTAATTATTTCCCCCCCCCCTCTCCTGGCTCCGTCTCCAGGACTCCAGGCGAGAGTGGAGGAGCAGCAGGCCCGAGCTTGTTTCAGGATGACAAAAGATTCACCCTGGCCACCGGGCCCTGGGGAGTCTGGGAAGGAAGTTGTCAAGAGGCTCTCCTCACCTGCTCAGCAGTGGGCTGACTGTGCTGTGGGAGGTGCGAGGAGGAGGCAGAGATACAGTAGTGATGTCATGTCGTGAGGGACCGTCACTCTCTCTGTGTGGGCCGAGTCATGTTTGCACCGAAGCACGCTTCGCTGGCTCAAACAGAAAAGTCTGACTTACTGCAAAACTGCTTGTTAGAATAAAGGTGCATTTTAAAAAGATTTCCTTCAGTTAATGGAAAACTTAACTGAAAATCGTACTTTTCGATCTTTTGTTGTATATTCTATACTTCCTAGAAATTTTATTATAAACGAGAACAACTAGAGAAATTGCATTTCCTGCTAAAATGCAGTGTGAATGCTTACTGCTAATGAACTTGCTGAAAAACAGCTAAAAATATGCTGAAATGGAGCTGAAATGGAGGAACAAGCCTAAGTTAGCAGAAGAAAGCAGAAAAAACCCATATTTGCTGAATTTGGTTTAAATAAGCACAGATGAACACAAAAATTAGTAAATTGGTGCTAAAAGCTGAAATTAGTAAAAAAAATAAAAAAAATGGCTGAAAAGGAAGATAAAAGCTTAAATTACCAGAAGGACATGGAGAGAGCACAAGCGTGCCCAATTAGGCTGAAAGAAGCAGAAATTAGCACCAAAACGAGGAAATTATCTGAAAAAAGCTTAAATTAGCAACAAAAAACTGCTGAAATGTAGCTAAAAAAGATGACAGAAGCTTAAATTACCAGAAGGAAGTTGAGCACATTTTGCTGAATTAGGCTGAAAAAAGTTAAGTGAAAAAAATTAGTTGAAAAAGCTAAAACAAGTGTAAAACAGCTAAATAGTAGCTGAATTGGCAGGAAAAACTGAAACTTCCATACTGTAAATAAACTGAAAGAAGCTTAAATTACCAGAAGAAAGTGGAGTGCCCAGTTAGGCTGAAAAAAGCTAAAATTAGCACAAAAAAGTGGAAATTATCTGGAAAAAGCTTAAATAAGCAACAACAACAACAACAAAACAAACAACAACAAAAAAACAGCTGAAAAGTAGCTTAAAAAGCTGAAAGAAACTCAAATTACAAGAAGGAAGTTGAGAGCACATTTTTGCTGAATTAGGCTAAAAAAGTTAAAACAAGTGCAAAAAATGTGGACTTAGCTGAAGAAGCTAAAACAAAAATAAAAACAGCTAAATAGTAGTTGAAATAGCAGAAAAGACAGAAACTTGCGTAAATAAGCTGAAAGGAGCATAACATGTTGAAATTAGCAGAAAGAAGTTAGAAGAAGCACAAAGATGTTGTAATTAGCAGAAAGTATCTAAAAGGATCACAAAACAGCAGAAAAACAGCTGAAAGTAGCTGAAAAAAATGTTTAAATGTGCACAAGGAAGCCGAAAAAAGCTGAACAAAATGTGAAAGGAGCAGTAAAAGGTTATGAACACATCTAAAGATTTGATGGATGTAAAATTAGCTCTATTAATTTTCTATGAGAAAAAAGTGGCAGAAATGCTAAATATTTCAAAAAGCTAAAGTTTCACCGAAACCAAAAATCATGGCACAACAATTGAGAAATGAGAAAGATGCAGGAAAACGTACAAATGGATCACAACAGAGTAACTGCTTCATAAATATTCACACAATTAATGCTAAACCATGTAAACCTAAACTTTGAAAAGACGATTTTGTTAATGTGGGACAAGCTGACATGACTGTTCATGACGAGCGGGCGTGTGAAACTCAACAGTGTGTGTGAAGCCATCCAGAAACGGAACAAATTACCATTTAGCGTTAGCAGTCTGTTTTTTCCGTTTAACACTGCATCGCAAATTTCTGCGGTCCAATTTAATCATCCTTTAAAACAATGTCATGGTGTGTGTTCTGCTGCTTCTACACTGCAGGTGTGTGTGTCCCTTTCACCTGCGTCCATGTTCCCGAAGCGACAAGTTATCTTTATTTGTCCTGTTATTTTTACACTTTAATTGGAGGCAGGAGTTTAAGGATGAAGAGGGTTGTGTCAGGTCCTTTTCCTGTGTGATAAAACCGTAACCAGGTCTATTTTGGATCAGGAGGTCTATTTGCAAGTGATAAGTATATATCACATAAATGGCTATAATTCAGATGACTTTAAAGATATTGACCTAAAGTTGGATGTGGTTGTATACTGTATTTTTCACTATATAAGTCACAGTTTTTTTACATAATTTGCATGCCCTGTGACTTATACACCAAAGTGACGTATTTATGGATTTTTCCCCATATTGATAAACCAATTTTTGGCCGAGATATAACCGTTTTCATTCATGCTGACTGAAAATATTGAACACTACCATTTTCAGCCACTAGATGGTACACGAGTAGTATGGCATGCCGTTGTCTCATGTAATAGGTCAAAGTGGCTATTAATGACACAATCAGTTTGCCAAAGCCTTCCACCTTCGTCCAGCTCGCCTGGAACAACCGTCAAATCAGTTTCATTTTGCTGAACTGCCCCGACGAAATGCAGCTGACTTGACCATTGAAGTGCATTTATTAAATAAAAGTTCAACTGAGATGCACCTTTACTAAAATGTCAAACAAACAATTGTTTTAGGTGCTAGGTGTACACTGAGACACGCATCTGCTATAATTTCGAGCAAACGAAAGTGATGCGTAACAAACGCGACATGTCAGCGGTGACGCATAATAGATGTGACGTATACGGCGCAGCAATGTATTTATGGATTTTTCCACTTTATTAAACATATTTGGACTGATGTGACTTTTACGGCGGAAAATGCGGTACTTCCAATGTGGCATCTTGAAACGTTGCACAGAATGTTTTCAAGGTTTGACCAAAACGGCTACAACTACGTCACTTTTGATAAGATGATCCAAATCTTAAATTGTGTGATGAAAGGATGAGGGCGATAAGCATTTCTTTAAGGGCCGCTAGGATTTTAATTATTTATTGACATCATGCTGTGGAATTGCAGCATTAGTGGATATCGCAGCCCGGTGTCGGCGATTAGCCTGGAGGACTTTGAGGAGGAGAAGCAAAGTGTGCGGGGAACAGCGAGGCTGAGAGACAAAGAAGAAACACGAGACAGAGAGTGGCGGACTTAAACTGGGACAAAGACAAAACGAACAGTGTTGATTCCACTCCCCTGGGTTTCCTCACTCTCCACAACATCCCCGCGCTGCCATCGCAATCGCTTCGAGGCATCAAACAGAAAGTTTATCGTGGTTAAATTAACAAGTGTCATCTCCATATTCACTCATTGTACTAAATGCTTTAATGTTTATGTACAGCCCTTTTTTGGAATTAATATTTCATGTTTGTATGCATTATCACAGATTTCTTCTTCTTCTTCTTGCAAATCATCTTTTTTTTTTTTGGGTGGGAAAATCAAAGTGAACACACTGTCAGTCTACGAGGGGGAGGCATACCCCAAAGACTGTCAGAGCAGGCGGGATGGTGAAGTTTACTCTGCGCACAGTTCTGTACAGCAGCTCTGAATGGGTGAGGATACTCCAGTGGCAAACACTTTTTAATGAGGCTGGGACACAGTCGCTACTGTTTTAACTTCCTAAAGTCAAAGAAAACGGGGCAGATGAGTGATGAGCTCAAAGTTTCTCATTCCTAAGAAGCACAAAATTATTCTTTAGTCACGCGTATTAATTAAAACAGTCGCCATATCAAACCAAACACTTTGTTGTCTAAACATCGTTTTTAGTTAACAGAAATCAAAGCATTCGGCGCGGTGTGCCTGTTCACATTTCGGACAGAAAAAACAAATGTATTTAGTAATTGGAGTTAGAATACGGTGCCTACGCCACAATCATCAGGTATGCCTCCACAGTAATGGCTCTGTCAAGCTAATTAACTTCTACAGTTTGAGTGAAGCTAACGAGATGCGTACAGGCATCAGAGGAAGGCCAGGCTCTACAGGTGATAACCCTATTTGGCAGTGACATTTTTTAGTGTAAAGTCACAGTGGCGGTGACGAGATCAAAGGCAGAGACTCCCCCATTGGGTCCAATTAGAACTATAGCATTGTACAGGGAAGGGGTGGCAGAAGAAGAGAGGGGAGTGGGTGGCTGAGGGAAGGAGGAAAAAAAAAAACTGTTGAGTTATGATATTCATAATCTATGCAGAAAGGCCTTTCCAGTACAGGTCTTCTCCCCATAGCTATGATCTTTTCAATTTACATCAAGGGAAGATAGTCGGGGATGAAAGCGGGGCGTCCAAGGCGCACAGCCCACAGAGGGCAGACATGGGGCCTCATTAAGGCCCGGCCCAGACAGCCCCAAACAGGGTTTGAAGTGCGTCACATAAAGAGCACGGGGTCAAAGGTCAGACATTGAACAGATCTCCATTTAACTCTCCAGCTGGAGATGGTAATTAGCAGGTG